TATTACGTGACCTGTGCTCCCGTCTTGTTCCGCGTATGCCTCGTTATTCTCTCGTCCTTGGAGTCCGGGTTGCAGGGAGCCGGTGAGACGACGCTTTACTACAAGCTTTTCAGTCGAACGGTCGCCATCCCTCGCTTATGTCGGTCGTGGCAAGGCCTATTGCTTAATTCTAGTACAAAGTTTTAAGTCGCGAAACGCGGCGAAATCGTAGATGCGCTCGCCCTCGAAAATCGGAGGACGCAGGATCCACTTAGCCGGTACAGTCGGGCTAATGAGCCCTTGTGACGGACGTTGTCGCAAAACGTCCCGTCACAATGAATACTTACAAGACTGCCACTAGATAGCGTTTGTTGGTATCTGTTTCTCGTATTTAAAATTTTGTCAAGTTCTCTATATAACTCTTTATAATTATGTGTGTGCACTTAGTTTAAAATATGAGTAACATTTTAGAGCAAAGAAGCTTAGTATTGTTTCAAAATATTAAATTTGCAATTACATTACTATTAATATTACAAATATATTAATATAATATTTACAAATATATTAATGCAATAAATTGAATAAAGAACAGCATGTTTTAGCATTTTGTCAGCATATGTTATAAGTTATAAAGTAACTTGTTCCATTATATATTGTATTATATATTATATATTTTTATGATTTCCTCACACTTCCTCAATAGCGAAAATTTAGATGACACTTGGACACTTTATTCCTCGACGATAAACACGTAGACACTCACTTCCTTGACGGCAACCACGTAGACATTCACTTCCTCGACGACGACCATATAGACATTCACTTCCTCGACGGCGAAGACTTAGATGACACATAAACACTTAGTTCCTCGACGACGACCACGTAGACATTTACTTCCTCGAGGACGAAGATTTAGATGACGCTTAGACACTTAGGCGAAAACTTAGGAAGTAAATGTCTATGTGATCATCGTCGAGGAAGTGAGTGTCTAGGTCTTCGCCGTCGAGAAACTGAGTTGTCTAGGTGTCGTCTAGGTCTTCGCCGTCGAGGAAGTGAGTGTCTACGTGTTCGCCATCGAGAAACAAAGTGTCCAAATGTCTTCGTAGGTCTACAACATATCCAAAATTTAGCCAATTCGACGGAAAGCCAATTTCCATATAGTTGGTGCATTGGTCCTTTAAGTTTTATTTATTCTGTAATGTTCAAGAATTTTTCGTGAACTTAATGTGTTTATTTCTACATCATTAGAAAATCAAAATTTCAACGTAGATTACATAGAATGAAAATCGATGTGAATTTATTTATATAAATTCTATGTTGCCATCTCCTATTTTTATCTTCGTTAAATTTTATCAGTAATTCTACGTCAACATGTATCTTAAATCTATGTGGAAGTGTTTCAACGTAAAATTCACGTTGAAAGTTCGAGAAAAAATTATATTAATTTATCAATGCAATTATAACGTTACAATTACGTGGATATCATATCAATAAATTCGCATCCACGTAATCTGCGTAAAACACGTAGATACAACGTGGAATCCACGTACCTGTTCTCATCGGGAATTGTTCCAATTAAATATGTGATTCTTTTTTTCTCTGTGAATCGAGACAACAAAAGGAGAGCCACTAGATTTTTTAATATTTGAAATATGTTCTTGGATTCTTGTTTTCAATTAGCGTTTGGGGTTTTGTAATTAATTTTATATTAAGGCAATGCTGAATATCCAGCCGAATTTCATTGACATCGCTGTTTTATAGATGATTTGTATACATATATCATGTATGCGTGAGATATTTATGTAGTAATATGTAGTGATTTATTTATGTTACTACCACATCAATATATTTTGAAACGACCTGTCCTTGATGTACGGATAGCTCGCCGGGCTACTGTGGACGCAGGGATCGCGGGCAGGCTCGGGAGAGAGAGTACGGAACTGGTAACGTGAGAAATTACTCGCAATTAAAATAACTATTTATTCATTGCTAAATCATTAAAAGATAAAGAGAACAAAATGTTTTGACAGATAAAAAAAGAGTCTCGATTACATAAAAGAAATAAGTAAAATAAAACAAACGACTACAATACAGTCGTGCCGATAATTGACCGCCGAGTTATGATCGCGTTCGATCCAGCGCGCCGAGATAGATAGTCGGATATCTCGCGTAACGCCCGCAACGAAGTTCACACATACTCGGCGTACGCAGTAGCAGCGTGATACGATTGCGTGCTCGTGCACGCGCGCTCGATTCCGTTGGCGCTTTAAATCCCGCGTTTAAAGATCCCGGCGCGTAAACAATTTAAAGATCCGACGCGACAGAATGATGACAGGACGCCTCGGCGAAAGCAGGCAGCCCGAGATAGAGAAACGCTCTATCCCGAGCAGGAAGCCATCCCGGGCGTGGGAGCGGACTTGCGAATCGATCATGGTTGAGAATCGCTCAACCAGGATAGAGAAACGCTTTACCCCGGGGGTCCGTGGTCGAAGGATGGAGAAACTCTGTGACTCCGAGGCCGTTGGCTTGCCGAGAATCGCTCGGCCCGAGATCAATAACGCTTGGTCCCAGGGAGGTACTGCTACGGATATCGTGTCGGGCTAGCCGGCATGATCAGGAATCGGTCTCGATTATTTCGCCGGCCTTTTATACCTACGGCGATGACTTGGATACCATCGTACGTGCTCAGTTATTTTCGGTACAATAACTGTAATCGCTTCTTAACAAAGAATATTGTTACGCCCGCGTCTGAGTCTGCGACGTTCCATATACGAGTGAGTCAACGAGAGGAGATTTTTCCTGACGACGAGAGTCTGCTGTTAAACAGACTCCATGACAGATTTGAGACAAGCCGTCGTGCCGTGCGGACGTGCTTTACTCTGCTTTACATTTCGACGCTGTATCTGTTGTGTTTTCACATTAAAGAGTGTTCTTTTCTTTAACCTGGTGTTTCTCTCATTCCTTCGCGGCAATTCGGTGTGCGAGCGCGTGCGCGAATGCGGGAACGCGAGAACTACGCGAGTCAGTGCGCGAGCATGAGTTCAACTGCCCGCCTGGGCGTAACATTTTGGGGACTCGTCCGGGATCGAACGGATCGAACGGACGAGCAGATCTAACGAATGAGCGGATATGACGGACGAGCAAATAGAACGACCGAGCGGATTGAACGGGTGGATCAAATTGATTGAATGGAGCTTGGAATGGCTGCTGCAATCACTGCACGCAAGAGGCCGCGGGACATTTGGGGACGGTCACTGAAACTATAGTGCTGCTACTGCTGCTTGCCGTAATGCAAGAAATTGAGCAGCTGCAGAACGAACAGCTGAGGAAGGAAGCCGAGAATTCGGAAACTTTATGGCGGCGTGAAAAGGAGCTCCGAGAGGTGTTGCGAGGATTCCAAATCTCACAGATAAGTCCTTCCAAAAACAGTATTTTAAATAATAGTGGCGACGCGGAGGGATTGAGTGGGGTTCGCGCAATACAGGGAAGTGCGCGAATTTGCCGCGGAAAGCTGGAGTATAAACTAAAGCCGGACACTTTCGACGGAAGCGTACTTTTGCCGGAATTCTTTCCGCAATTCAATGTGATTGCGTCAGTAAACGGCTTGAACAAAGAATTTAAAACGGCAGCGTTGGTTTCTCGCTTGAGGGGAAAAGCGCGTTCGATTTTTGAATGTGTGGGAGATATTCGACATTGGAGCACGCGTCTTTAGGAAAAGATTAAGGTAGTAGAAATAAGTGTTATTATGTTACTGCGCTATTTTGTTTTCTTTAACTTAGGATAGGAGAATGAGGTCTCCCTGGACGAAGACCGGCAAGATCTTCCCAGACGAAGATCATTTGGATTCGTCAGGAGAGGGCAAGTAACAGCGGACCTTGTCACATTATTTCTATAGAAATCTGCCTCGCCTAGGGTTTTTTGATACATGGTTTTTCCGTGGGACTTTGGGCGAATGCAGAGGCAGGGACTTGGGGAGTCTTTATTAAGACGTTGGGTCCACGGTGATACCCCCCCCCCTTGTCCGAAAATTGCAAGAAAGAAGACCCGAGCATCTCGGAAGGAGCCAGGGTAGAGTAGGTAAGAGTACACATCGCGGGAGCTTCGAGAAAGTGCAGCCTGGGGGATACCCTGTAAGCGGCGTTGTGGGAGTTGGCCACTTCACTGGCGGAGAGGCGTCGCTGGGATCCGGTTCTTGCAAGGCACCGAAGTTCCGGAGGAAGCGCATTGGGATCCGGAAAAGGATGGAGTTCGGTAACCTGAGGCAGCAGTCCGGGGTAGAACAAGGAACCATTCTGGAGCCCTGAAATCTGTTCCGCAATTGGAGCAAGAAAACCTGCAGAATATCTCCCTAAAGAAGATTGTCGGGACGACAATCTCGAAGAAGGGGGGTAATGTTGTGCCCCTGCCCCTGTATCTTCTAATTGCGGCTTGAGTCGAGCGACCGCGCGAAGTATCGCGCAAAGCGAAGAAAGAAGAAGACGGTTGCCGGGGGCAACGTGATATCGTTCCGTCGCGGCTTTCGACGTGTACATTATAAAATACCGC